CGGGTCCCCCCCAGCCAGCCCCGACAGGGAGACAGGGCAGGTGCCTGCTGGGCGCTGGCAGCCGGAGGGGTCCCTGCTCGGCCACACCATGGGTACAGGCCTGCTCCTCTGCCCAGGTCGCCATGCACAGGCTCCCCGGTAGCGCACTGGCAGCTGCCCGGCAGGCTTTGGACCAGCTCTGCGTGGCTGCTGGCACTGACGCTGGTGCCTCCAGCCCTGGGCCAGGCGGGGCTGTGTCCAGGTGGGCAAAGGGGCAGGGACCAGAGCCTGCTGGGAGGTCTGCGCCTGGCCCCTGCCACGTGCCCCACGAGCTGGCTGCTCTTCCACCTGCAGGCCGAGCCTGGAGCTGATGGCAGTCAGCTGGGGGAGGGAGTGAGCGAGCGAGGCTGCGGGACCTGCTCCAGGTCAGCGTCAGCGCCTCCAGGTAATGGCCGGGGCCTCTCCCAGGGACCAGCAGGGATGCCCCCTCCTGCCCAGGACAGCGCAATACTTCCACCCCCGGGGCACCCCTGTACTGTATCTCTCCCCTGTCCTTGCACCCCTTCCAGCATGGGCCGGCTCCTGCCCCACGCCCCGGCTGGAGCAGCTGTGCTTGGGCCCGACAGCCCTGGCCCTGCGCCCGGAAACATTCAGAGCAGCCGCACCCAGCCCCATGCACCAGGCCCTGCACGGGGGGGGGGTGCATGCACCGTCCCCCTGGCCCGGCGAGGGGGCCCTGGGGCAGGCAATGCGAGCCCAGTGCCGTGCAGCTCCGCCGAGGAACCAGCTCAGCCCTTGCCATCGCCTCGTGCCTTGCAGGGCCCTGCAGGATGGGGCCGTGGGCTCTTGGCCTCCTGCTGCTGTGCTGCCTGCCGCGGCCCGCCCCTGCGCTCGGCCAACCGCCCCCCAGCCGGCGCCCCCAGAGGGATCCTGCCAAGGGCCGGACCGTGCCCCAGCCACGCTCAGCCAGGTAAGGGGGTGCCCGGTGGGCCCCTGCCCCAGAGAGCAGCTGCTGGGCTGTGCGAGCTGAAGGGAACCCGCGACGCCAGCTGGCCCCGGGGCTGGGGGAGGCTCGGGGAGGGGCCCCCTGCGCTGCGGGTCCCCGCACCGCGTCAGTGCTGCTCTTCTCCCTGGCAGGACCGAGTGGGACCGGGAGCGGTACAGCCGGCAGCCCCAGTGCGTGCGCTGCTGCGACGCCCCCGAGCAGCCTCCCCTGCTCTACCAGCCCGTGGCCCAGATCAACATGACCATCCTGAAGGGTAAGAAGCCCCTGGGGGCTTGTGGGCCAGGCGGCTGCTCTGGATGGGGAGGACCCCGGGCCTGGCAGGTGCCACCACCCCTGGCTGCGTGCTACCCCTTTGCAGTGCCAGAGGTGGGCGCCTCTGCTGCAGGGGATGGGTTTGCTGTAGCTCCCCCCCACCCCTCAGCCACAACGCTTCTCTTCCCCCAGGGGAGAAAGGGGACCGGGGCGAGCGCGGCCTCCAGGGGAAGTTTGGCAAGCCGGGCATGACAGGCAACCGGGGCCACGTGGGGGCCAAGGGCCAGAAGGGCAGCGTGGGGGCGACCGGGGAACGGTGCAAGAGCCACTACGCTGCCTTCTCAGTGGGCCGCAGGAAGCCGCTGCACAGCAACGCCTACTACCAGACGCTGATCTTCGACACCGAGTTTGTCAACCTCTACGGCCACTTCAACATGTTCACGGGCAAGTTCTACTGCTACGTGCCCGGGATCTACTACTTCAGCCTGCACGTGCACACCTGGAACCAGAAGGAGACCTACCTGCACCTGATGCACAACGCGGAGGCGGCCGTGGTCCTGTACGCCCAGGCCAGCGACCGCAGCATCATGCAGAGCCAGAGCATCATGCTGGAGCTGCGGGAGCAGGACGAGGTCTGGGTGCGGCTCTTCAAGGGCGAGCGGGACAACGCCATCTTCAGCGACGAGTTCGACACCTACGTCACCTTCAGCGGGCACCTGGTCAAGTACAGCGGGGACCCCTGAGTGCCTGCCCACCCCTGCCTCCTTCCCGTGTCCCCGCTCCTTGCCCGCGCCCCCGACTGGGGCAGATCCCACGCCGCCGGCATTAAGGCGAGCTCTGCCCCCTCGACGACGCCACGGCCCTGCCAGGGGCTGTACAGACACCTGCGTCCCCGCGCCCCGCTTTCCCCAGGGAACCTGTGATTAGTGAGACCAGGGCTGCTGCGGCTGCTGGGTTTGGGACAGGTGTGCAGGGGAATAGCAGCGGAGAGGTCCGTGCCCAGGTGTGGTGCTTGTGCCTATTTCCCTGCCAGGACTGTGCCAGGAAGATCTAGCAGGTCCCTGGGTGCAGGGCACCATCCAGGGAGGCCTGGCCCCAGGCCCCGGTTCTGTGCTAGTCCCCAAGGGGCTCCGGGGTGGCGGCCCCAGCTGCAGGAGCCCCGACCCATCAGCCCTTCTGCGGCCGCGGGCCAGGCTTCGATTTTAGTTGGCGCGACAGCAGAGCAGGGGCAGGGCAGCGTACGGCCCCCCACGCTCCGCAGGGCTCTGCCCTCACATTAAACCCCCGGTTCAGCTGCGAGTGGCTGCAGGCTCCTTCCTTCCATCGCGCTCGTGGCCCTGACAGATGCGGGGCAACGCCTGCCCACACCGGGGCTTTCCTGCCAGGCCCCAGCGCCGTGCATGCCCATGGGCTGGGGCTTCCAGGCAGGGCTTCTCCTCCCCGGACAGGACACCAGCCCAGTCCTGCCGCAGCCTGGGAGACACCGGGGGACCCACGCAGCACTGAGCCCCCCAGCCCCTCCGAGAGCCCGTCTGGGGCGGACGCAGCGGGGCAGGGCACGTGCTGCCCGTGCCCGGTGATTCCAGCAGCTGCACGAGGCCGAAACCTCGGAGTCCAAGGAGTTTCTCAGCCCCATGAGTGCCCTGCCCTGCCCAGGTCGGTGCGAGGACGCCGTGCCCTGGTCACCTCGGGTGCCCTGGCCGGCGCTGCGGACCTCGGGCGGGCTGCCGGCAGGCAGGGAGGCCGGGTCAGCCAGGCAGTGAGGAGAGCCCTTCCAAGAACCGCGCCGGGAGAGGTGCGCTGGAGCGGTGCTGTGATGAGCTCACCCCGCAGAGCCGCCCGGGCCAAGCAAAACAATCCAGCTGGAGCAGCCTCTCCGGCCCTGATCCGGGCTGGTGCAGCTGTGGTCAGGGGCTCCCTGAAGCACCGCGGCCCTGCCCCGGCTCCAGGCCCAGCTGCACGAGACACCTGCAGAAGAGGGGTGCGCGGGGCTAGCGCTGACGGGGTAGCGGGCCAAGCACCCCACCTCCGGGGCGGGTAGGGAAGCCGTGTCTGCTCC